CTGTCCGTCTTCCGAGAACTGAAGAACCATTGCAAGTTAACACCAACTGATGATGCTATCAGCAGCCTGGCAGGAAAGACACTCTATGACGTGGAGGGATTTCATTAGTGAGGTATGACCAAGACACCAACTTTATGTATGAGAAAAGGGAATGAAGAGTGAAATCTTCAGTTTACACAGCCGTCTCCGCTGCTCCAATAAAATAAATCCATTCTTCTTCTAAAAACCTGAGGCTAAAATATTAGATTTTTACATGTCAGTGATAAATTCATTCACTTCTGTATCGTGAATACATATTTGTCACTGCAGCATGAAGTACACACAATATATATATCAATGTTCAAAGTATAACATTTTTGTTGTTGGTACAGAAGTTATTATAGTTTTGTAAAGACAGGGACATGCAGATATAAAATATCTTACATTTTAGTGCAAGTGTTTTCCAAATATTAACTACTTTGTTTTTTCATCTGTTCCTTCAGCTGTCACCCGGGACTTTGTGTCCTTCAAAACTACACACTGAATTTAAGAGACTTTAATGTCCCTGCCAGTATTTGGAATAATACATTTACATTTTTTACATGGTTAAAGTACCACATACTCAAGAATGCTACGTAGGATTATTAAATTGTTTTCTACCATGCTACAGGAATAATTTACAATACACTCAGAATGTGATACGGCTCTAAGGGAGGGCTACAAATATCATCCAATCAGGTTTTTGCAGACATTTCCTTTAACCAATCTGCTGGAAGTAAAGTGAATTTCACTTCCTCATTCATGCAATATTAGCAGTCTCCAGGAGTGGCTCTGCAAGGATAACTCCACATGCAATATTAATGACTTGTGCCGAAACACAGAGAGGGCTCTCCGAAACACACACATCTGCTCTGTGACTTCATCAGTTCTTCTATCTGCCGAGCAGATGCAGGGGCCTGCCAGGCAATTAGTTGCCTGCGATGATTTTCTTTGAGTCCTCTATGGAGGCAGCAGCTGCGTCCATCCGGGTTTGGGAGACAGCAAGAAAATGTGTGAACATGAGCATCAAAAAGGTACTCGGTTCACATGTGTGCTGATGTTGGTCTCTGTGCACATGTGCATGTCGGTGTGTGTTGTGAGGCAGTGAGCCACTTTTCCTGCAGCTATCATGTTTCCAGAGAAAGGAAAAAGGGGGAGAAAAACGAGCACTACTGAGCAATGCCGAGCCTTGACATCCCCCCTCCCTTATCACTCACTTAGAAGTAAAAAACGCAATAACTCCAACAGACACGAGGAAGAAACTTTAGTGCATCCTGTTGCAAAACAAACACTTTTTCTTCGACTGTCGTCTTCAAAAAGACGCCTTAACGTTCAGAGCTGTTTCGCATGAAGCGTTCGACTGTGTGCACTTCTGTCGTAAAGAAATACAAATGTAATTGCTGTCTGTGGAGTATACTGTAAACTGGTACTTCAGATTTAAGACTCAGCGAGTCGATGAGCCAAAAAAGTGTTAATTTACAACTAAAATTCAACTTAAGTGTAAAGATTTAAAGACATTCAATAAAGAAGGTCCTTATAAATAGGACCAAATATACTTCAAATACATTTCCAAGACAAATTATGTCTGAGAGCTTGTTCTGCTACTTGTAAACTATGTTATAAATACAGAATAAACAGTACAGAGGAAAGTAGAGGCAGAAGGAGAATAAGGCTGAGACAGTGGGAAAGAAAGACAGAGCAAGGACAGAAGTAGAGAGAAAAAAATTGAGAAGCAAAGAGGTTACTCATCAGCTGGCAGAGATTTGCAACAGGCATGGACACTGTTTTGTGCTGGTGAGGGGATCACTGTGGAGTCGTCACACAGGCCGTGATCAAAGAGCTCTCTGACAGGCTCCTGATCTTTTCTCCAGTAGAATATAAACCAGGGGAAACTCTTTAGGAACCACAGATAATTCTGAATGTTCACGGGACATAAAGGGCACAAAGGAGTAGCAAGGATGGACGGATGAAAAGTGATTGAGTGACAATATGTTGGCTACTTTCATAGATTTATACATTACACTGAAGACGCTGGACAATAAAGAGTAAAATAGAAATAAACATAGCGCTAACAAAGGTAAATGCTAAAAACAAGGCTCCTAAATTGTTACTAGCTGCGTTGGCAGTGTGTTGACCATTATATGTACGCAGAAGGTAAATGCTCATATTGTGAGTTATGGTTAACCTTTCTACATCAACTGCCAAAATAAAGTGATTTAATTCAATTCAATCGACTTACGTCATCTTACACTAAAATAAAAAACAAAAATCCACAGTTGCAGAATGTGGTTCGATAAGAGAGTGGATTCCTAATGTCATTATAAAAGCTTTTGGTTGTCATATATTTTGAAAAGCTACAGTAAGAATGACCTTCATAATATTTGGACACTTGCTCTACAAGTAGAGTCGATTAATCTCTGGAGCTATGAGCTTGATAATAAACAGTCACCCTGCAATCATCAGCCAGACTTTTCTTTTCCTCATTTACTTCTCTCTGCTTCTATCTATTCCCAAATTCCACAGCCACATTAGTGTAACTATCGCTTTGCTTGAATATGATGTGAAGGGAAGGAATGTCAACACTCACTCTAACGTTCAGTTTTGATTTCATAATAAATCAACGTTGCCAAGTCAACTGTTGCTTTTCTTGCCATAGTTTCTCTACTCTGTTAGTTCTCGGAAAAATGTCCAAATGGACATAGTGAGTTCATTTTGCAGCTTGTGCATCAATTGCAAAAGTCACGACGCACCGACAAATGAAACTCACCAAAGTATCCTCTTGAATCTTTTATTCATCAATTTATTGTAATTAATTAATTAATTAATTTGCCACTATCCTCTCAACTGTGACCAAAGTTAATTTAACTGAGGACAAGTACTGAGCCGTGGTTAATAACAACTTTGCATAATATTTAACCACGAATCCAGTAACTTGCTATATTTGGCCAATGCATTAATAATAAATATGCTGTTTGTGATTGTCACGTAAAACCAAATCCGTGTGTATTAACTTGTGCATTTTGGTTTTTGAATAGAGCTTTAGTTGTTATGTTGAGATGAGCTCAAATACTGAGGCAGCCTTCATCAAATCAAACTAAATATCAAATTCATTGGAATAATCATGACTTACTTCAAACTCCCTAAAGGCTCATCTGCACTTTTGGGAAAAGGCTACTTGATGAAGTCCAGAGGGATGTGGCAACTATAGCAGGGCTATTAATCTTCTATTAACCTTTTGTTATGTTTCTGTTTGCATCTTATTTTAGAATCCAACACAAAGTTGGCCACTTGTTATCAGATCATGGGTTTCTGGAAATGATTTAAAAAAACGATTTGGAAATAGTTTTGTAACAAGTGTCATTAGGTTTCGTGAGTTTTTAACATTTTATCTGAACTAATCCTACCAACATCAAACTTTTCTATCTTTCTAATCTTTGAAACAACATAGAAAATATCATACAGATATGTTCCAGTCAATGCATGTTTAAGATCAACCATTGGTCTTATTGTCTGAGATGCACATTAACATTAAGAAAGACCTTCAATAAAACAACATAGTCGGATTATGGTGTCAGATTATTAGTATAATTAATTTTCTGAAGTTATTGGAATATATTTAACACTTGTCTCCATAAATAAATTGCTGTAGTGAAATATATTCTCATCAGATTTAAGTTAAAACTCAGATTGAGTTGATTTACAAAAAACTTTAAAGATGATAGACTACATGGTCGCAAAAAAAGGCGAAGTTCAGCGATTTCTAAGCGATATTAAAAAATGCTTCAGAAGGATTTTTTTAAATGCAAATTTTTTTTATTTTCCCATCATGCTGACATATCTAAGTAAGTCCCACACTCCCGCCTCTTGTCTGCGTGGGGGTAAAAACAAGGAGTAATGGCTTCTTTAGTCCTCAACGTGAAGTCTGGGTGACAAGATGACTTCAATTACAACCTCACTGAGCCCTCATGCGTAAATTATTCAGGATGGACAAGATTCACGGTGATAAAGCCACAGGCGAATTAACGTGTGTGGGGTTTTTTTTTAGATTGAAGCCGAGGAGAAACGTGTTACGTCAGCTCCTGTGATTTCATATTAAAATATCAGCACCAAAAATGATCAATACACTTTCCAATAAATTGATCAGTTTTAATGACTGCAGTTCGGAACATGGTACAAAAGATTTCTGCAGTCTGCAGCTGCAGGTGCACTCGAAGAATGAACCGTGTTTAAGGGTGAAGCAATATAAAAGGGAATACAATATTTAATAATGAATCAAAAATAATTTAAATCGCTGGGAAAAGAGGAATTTCAGTGGATCTTAAAGGAAGACATTATAGGCTACTGGTTTAGTTAGTTTTTCACTTTTAATTTAATTTACAAATTGTGTGTTCAACTTAGAATTCTTGATTAGAAAAATGAAAAATCTAAGTTAAATTCGTATAAACAGAGGTTTTTAAGATTAAGCCAACACGTGTAGCTTCATTGTTTTTCATAGGGAAACCAGGACATGCTGAGAGTAAAACTTTGTCAATATAAAACATCGATAATTACCGAGCCTTCCAAATAACGACAAAGATGCACATTCATGTAAGAGAGAAACAGAAGCAGGAGACTTATCTGCTTAAGTCTCTAAAGTTAAAGACTGTCACTCACACTGTGTCTACAATAATCCTCAAAACGCACCTGGAGAAACTGCGCGTAAAGAGACAAAAAAAAGAAGCTTTACTGCAGCCTGAGAGGACGCTGGCATTAGCCCGTGAAAAGGTTTGTGTTTCCCTGTGTGGACCCGGGGAGCAGCGGACAGCTCCGTGCGCCCAGATGCTGCTGCTGCTGCGGCTGCACTGGAGATCTCCTGCAGGAGCCCCCGCGTCTGCCTCTGGCTGCTCTGATTGGCTGCGCTCACTGACAGCTCCGCACATGATTGCAGGAAGAGAAGCCCGACCCCTTCCACTCTTCCTAGAGGAACCATTCATAAACTACACAAGTCCAGCTCACAGCTGAGTGTGGACGAGAAAGTGAGCGGGGGCCGCAAGAGCAAGGAGGACAAGAGTGAGAAGAGATGAGTGGTCACAGATGGTGTTTGAGCCTTTAGCGCCTGCAGCCCGGGACACGGATGATTACGCACAAGCTGAATATGAATCTACCTAGCCGTGCTGGAAGTGCTCAGTCGGACTGATATTTAGCTGTTGCGTCGCATCCCTATCCGTTTCCTCCTCCTCACACTGACGTCCATCCGCTGCAAAAGCAAAAAAAAAAAACTTTTGATTACTCATTTTTCCTGCGCGGGGAAGCTTTTGCCTCTGGCTTAACCGGTAAGCATTGGATCCGTCAACTTACTGCGACTCCCCGGTGTACAGCCCGGACCTCTGCCCGAACATGATTGCGACGCAGGCAAAGCTGGTTTACCAGCTCAACAAATATTACAACGAGAGATGCCAAGCTCGCAAAGCGGCCATTGCGAAGACCATCCGAGAGGTTTGTAAAGTGGTGTCGGATGTCCTGAAGGAGGTGGAGGTGCAGGAGCCCCGGTTCATCAGCTCCCTCAGCGAGATAGACGCGCGCTACGAGGGGATGGAGGTCATCTCGCCGAACGAGTTCGAGGTGGTGCTGTACCTCAACCAAATGGGGGTCTTCAACTTTGTGGACGACGGCTCCTTGCCCGGCTGCGCGGTGCTGAAGCTGAGCGACGGCCGCAAAAGGAGCATGTCGCTGTGGGTCGAGTTCATCACCGCCTCCGGGTACCTTTCCGCCAGGAAGATCCGCTCCAGGTTTCAGACACTGGTGGCGCAGGCCGTGGATAAGTGCAGCTACCGCGACGTGGTAAAGATGGTAGCGGACACCAGTGAGGTCAAACTACGGATCAGGGAGAGGTATGTGGTGCAGATCACCCCCGCGTTCAAGTGCACTGGGATTTGGCCTAGAAGCGCAGCTCAGTGGCCCATGCCCCACATCCCCTGGCCCGGTCCTAACCGGGTAGCAGAAGTGAAAGCCGAGGGGTTTAACCTCCTCTCCAAAGAGTGCTACTCGTTAACGGGGAAGCAGAGCTCTGCAGAGAGCGACGCGTGGGTCCTGCAGTTCAGCGAGGCCGAGAACAGGCTGCTGATGGCCGGCTGCAGGAAGAAGTCTCTGTCCATCCTGAAGACTCTGAGGGACCGTCACCTGGAGCTGCCGGGACAACCGCTCAACAACTACCACATGAAGACCCTGCTGCTGTACGAGTGCGAGAAACACCCGAGAGAGACCGACTGGGACGAGTCTTGCCTCGGAGACCGACTGAATGGCATCCTGCTGCAGCTCATATCCTGTCTGCAGTGCCGCAGATGTCCCCACTACTTCTTGCCAAACTTGGACTTGTTTCAGGGAAAGCCTCACTCAGCCCTGGAGGCTGCTGCGAAGCAGACATGGAGACTAGCGAGAGAAATCCTCACCAACGCCAAAAGTTTGGACAAATTATAAAGTGATTGTATAGAAAAGAGCCGAGAGACATTTTGGGATAAAACTTCAGAGAAGGACAAAGATGATTCTCCAAGCAATGTGAAAAAAAAAATCAGAAACAAAAATAATGCAGAATGCAAACATCAACAAAACCCCCCTTTTTTAAAAAGAAAGAAAATGGATGAATTGGGCCACTGCCAGGGAGAAGGTGAAGGTACATTTTCAGATAAATGTAAGAACTTTTAGTTGTCTTCTTTAAATGTTTTCACAAAGTGAAGAAACGTTTATTTAAATATATGCACAAAAATCGTTAAGTGAAAGAATAAAAATGTAGCGTGCCAAGTTCAATTTTTTCATTATGTGACTTAAAAAAAAAAGAAATGTTAATAAAATGTTGCAAATTAACTTACAACTTGGCCTCGTGTCTTGACGTGTGTTGACAGGTGAGATGAGGCCAAACACGGTGCATTTTATTTTGTTATTGTCCAATGGAGATAATCATTAATTTAGTTATTTTCTAAAGAGAAAATAAAAATGTCAAACAAAAGTAAGAAATTCCAAATTTTTAAAGAAAGAAATTGCACAGCCGGCTTCAGGCCATATGTTATTTTTACGGTGCATCACGGGCTCAAAAGGATTTTGGAGTGAATGTAAATCAGTGCTCAGGTTAATATATGGGAGCATCTCTGCTCTGTTTTCAGAGGCCTGCAGCTAAAGTGAAGCCCTCATCTGATTAATGCGGTAGAAATGAGATAATTCACTTTATTTTATACATGACACCTCCACATTCTGACTTTATTCTATATGATCTATAAATTCAAATAAATGCTGATGATATTGAAAATGCCATTTACGCATACATTAATATCATGGAGCGTTCAGGTGCAACAACCAACTGTAGGTCAGCACTCCTCTACAGTTAACGTGGAGTTTACTAGTGGCAGCGTGTTTTAAGCAGAACACAACATTTTATTTTTGTGATCTGCTTCCAGTGAAATTAATTTGCTGCAGAGCGAAAATTGGTCACCATCGATAGCTGGAGGGCCTGAACTGTTTTATTTGACTAATTTATCTACTTATTAGAAAAACTTGTAATTTCGTGGAACACACAACTAAAACATTAAGCTTAAATTCCGCGGTTTTATATTAACTCCACACATGATCAACTCAGAAGAAAACAAAACAATTTCACAGTCAATGAAAATATAGTAATACAATAAATGTATTCTGACATCATAACATTTCCTCCACGTGAATTCAAATCCAGCCTTATAGTAACTTCAACCACAGGCTGGCGAGATATTTAATCACTGACAAACTTAGGAGCAACACCAGAGACCTTAAATGCCTAAAATGTTTTATATATATATATATCGCTTTTGCAGATAGGCCTGTTACACGTGCTCCATTCAAATATCAAGCCGGAGTACATGCAGCCTCTCTCAGCGCGGGGGGGAAGTGACAGTTTGGGACGAGATCAGTGGAGCTCGAGTCTCTTACCTTCGGATCGATGGCCTTGAAGCTCGGCTCGTCCTCTTCCACCTCGAAGTAGACCTCGGAGGCGGTGATGGACAGGGTGCCTTTCACCACCGCAGTCGGAGCCACCAGCTGGGCGCCGGTGCTCAAGTTTACTGGGCCTGGAAGAGTCACACACACACACACAGGATCCGGTCAACCAAAACAAGCCCTTCTCCATGGAGGGAAAATATAGTGGCTTTAAAATAAAACACCCATTGTTAAGCTAAACGTATAAAACCTAACACATGAACGTGCTGCAATGGATGAGTGATTAGCTTTAAAACACACCGTTGTCACATGGCTAACTTTACGCACGAAATGTACCAACAATTTTTCGCCTATTTTTTTTTTAAGTTTCGCGTGTCTCTCAAACAATTTGAAAGATTGTTCATATGAAACTATTTTCTATTCGTGCTGCAGTATTATTAAATAATTCGGCTACTTCACAAACTGCACAGTGTCTAGTATCCCCCCCCTTAGACTGATGCGCAATTATGGCTGAGTTCAGGATAAGCTAATAAACATGGGAACTCTAAATGGCTGCACATCCCGATAGCTCCTAAAATAAAGCATGCTGCCACGGGTCTTTAAAGTAGTACAATACTCAAAATAAATATCGTAAAGCTTTAAGACATAATTGTCAAAAATCGGCAGTCCGTCAGAATCAATTGATCGTAAGCTCTGTTTAATCTTTCATCAATCTTAATTTATGCCAGTATGACAATGAGAGGTCGGCTCTGGGGAGCTGTGGGTGGAAGCTCTGCCCGGCTCCGCACATATGAGCCATTGTGTTTGCAGATGTTGCGCCGGGGAGACAAGGCTCGGAGCCCGGCTTTGATTTCCCTCAGCTCCCTCCTCACTCCTGCACACGGACGGAATAAACAGATATATATATATATATATATATATATTCATGCCTCTGCCTCGCCTCAACCCCGCGAGTACTGACACGTTATCCGTGGGTTGAAATAACATTTTTATTCAAAGACATTCAATTAGCCTCCACCTGAAGCAGACAGCTGCTTAAGAGGAGAGGCTCAGCGTCTCCCAACAAAACCCCCCGACTCAATTCCCACAGTACACACACACACACACACTTCAGTTTATTAGACAGGATTCAACGTTTAATCCCATTGTCACCCACAGTTGCGTTATTCTAATAGCAGCCTGAGCCTCATTAATGCATCTTAGTCTGCAGAGCGCTGTCACTGCTCATAGGGAAATGCGGATTACGCAGCAATCCGATTAGCGGACTATATGATATTTAATTAAGATTATTTAAACAAGAAAAGCAACAAAGAATCCACAGCATCTTGAGATGGATGACATTTAATGTGAGGCTGTGCTGCAGCTGCATGATCAGGCTCATGCACAGAGGGGAGATTTTTATTCAGGCAATGGTGCTTTTCTTAAATCAGATAATGTCCCATTTCTGGGTGAGTAGTATCCTGGGATAAACTCTGCTACTGCTGGATTTAGGAAAAAAATGTTTACAGAGTTGCTACTCAGGCCTCTCTCTCTCTGTGTGTGTGTGTGTGTGTGTGTGTGTGTGTGTGTGTGTGTGTGTGTGTGTGTGTATGTGTGTGTGACGCAGACCTCATGGCAGAGACAGAAAACTGGAGATTCTGTGTTTTCAACTGCACTTTCCTACAAAGCAGTGGTGCTATAATGAAAAAGGTGTCCATACAGTTAATGCTGTGTAGTAAGAAAGTGCTACACGGTCATTAAACGCCTAATTTCCTTTTTTATAGGGGGCTCAGCAAGAATCCAACAATGAATCTAAAAAAAGCACCATGATGTAACAGCTAAACAGCAACTTGGGAAAAAAGCTAGAAACCAGAACTATATAAATGAGTTGGTGCAGCAAAACAACTGAGATGCACGTGAAAGTTGCAATAACCTTATTTCTTTACATCCTTTGATGCAGGACACAAACAACACAGTGAAATGGGGAGGGGCAGCCATGACTGAGCGGTGGCTATGGGAGGTGAAGAGGATGAGCTCCTTTCCTTACCTGCTAAATTCTCCAGGTCCTTCTCATCCAAGCTGGACAGAGTGTCATCGTCTCCGTCGAGCAACGTCTCACTCTCTGAGTTTTGATTTCCCAGAGCGTGACTCCTGATGGACTGCTTGCCTTTGAGAATATCCTCCTCGGGCGCTAGAGAGGAAAAGGGGGGGGCCTTTTTTATTATACGTTAACATTTCAACCATAAGATTGTAGACAGTGTTTCAGGTTCAGATTTGATCTTTAACTGGATCCAAGCACAAAATACAACAATTATGAGTAATACCTGCAAACTAGGACAAATGATATGTTTTTATCACTTTATATTGCAGACTAGACAAGTTACCTTCTCTGCTGCTCTGCCTTGATCTGAACTATTAGTGCTTAGCGATCAATATAACGTAACAAAACAAATCTATCTACTGTGAGACTACTTTGCAAAATTATAAATTTTTCAAATGGTTTCCTTATTTTGTCATCTTCCAAAAGTAACTAGAAACCAAAGACAAGGTATAAAAAGGTATATTTTGTAAAATATAGCAAGTTTACCCTCAAATACAACCACATGCAACCCTTGATTCTCATCATATCACATGTACATGCGGGCGAAATGAAAACAGCAACTAAAAAACTAAAAATTCCTCACCCCAAATGCATTTTGCCCTTTAACATACATCAAACCAAACAGAGTCTCACATAAAGCTTATCCCAACACATTTAAACTAAAGGGGGGGTCGTACACTGCCCGTTTTGATTTCAACTGAACATGACTTGAGGTTCCAAATGGATTATTTAAGAAAACTGGTAATCTGCAAACATTTACAGAACTCTGCATTCCTCAGTGTAGATGTGAGGATCCAGAGACACAAGTCCACAGCACAAAGACTGGCTGGCAACTCCTATTCCTATTCTCTTTAGTGAGCGTTCACTTCTTCTGTGCACGTCTGCTTTCTAATCCAGCATCCAGGTAAAAGCAGCAGCTTAACTCCAGTGAGTCTCTGCATTAACATATAACTGGTGGATTTCTTTTTTCATCTTCACCTGAGGGGAGATCAATTGCACTTCCTTAAAAATGCCCAGCCGCGTCATGTGGCTCTACACTTTGAAACTTCTACAAGAGCTGGGCTAAAAAATCTCTTGTCATGGAAAATATGCAGCTCACTGATATTTAGAATGGTCTTCCTGTAATTAAGCCTCCCTGGAGGATTCTTTAGTTAGCAGCACTGAAATTACTACCAGCTCCCCTAATACATACCACATGCCATTGTATTCACACCAGGCAAGTGGATAGGGGACTTGTCAGATGAGCTTAAAAAACAGAGATGTAGTTCAACTTCTTTGTATTTAACTGCAAACATGCCCAGAAACTCTCACCTCAATACGCAGACAGTACTAACATACAGTATCCAGCCCTGCCAATACACTGTCTGATGCAACTGAACCTCGTGACTGGGCCGAACTAAAGCTCTGTTCCCTCTATTACCATCAAACACAAGTTATTAATAGCCCCTCAGGATAACATGCATTCAAGTGGCTGCAAGCAAAATAATGACCAGTCAGCATGTTGTTTAGCCGAGTTTGTTGGAACGGCAATAAAAGCTATTTTGACCAGAGTTGTGTCACTTATCACCACGTACACAAAAAGGAAATGTGCACGTCAGTGACAGGCTATTCGCTAACTCACTCTCCTCCTCTCACGCTCGCTCTCCCTGTTCCTAAAGCACAGACGGTTTATTTTTTTCTTGTTTTAATTTGACAACCCTGAGGTTTTAGTGTGTGTGTGTGTGTGTGTGTGTGTGTGTGTGTGTGTGTGTGTGTG